TCCTTCCTCCTCCTCTCTCCTCTCCTCCTTCCTCCTCCTCTCTCCTCTCTCCTCTTACTCTCCTCCATCCATCATCATCATCATCATCATCATCTATATTCTCATTATCACTTTGATTGTTATCAATATTGTCATTGTTGATTTTTTTCATTATTATTATTGTGTGTCATATGTATAATAATGATTGCTTTCATACTGTATCGACAGTAAGGAGAATGATAATGAAGATAATAATGATTATAGTTATGTTAGTGATGATAATAGTGATAGCAATAATAATAATGACAATGATAATGATAACAACAGTAATAATAGTAATAACAATAATGATGATGATAGTGATAATAATGATAATGACGATTATTATAATAATAACAACGATGACAACTACGGTAGTGAGTAAGATAATGATAATGATAATAATAATGAAAAAAACGATAACAATATTGGTGATAATGATGAAAAATAATAAAGGCCGTGATAATGATGATAATATGTATTATTACTATTATGATTGGTATTGTTATACTGATAACGATTATGATAAAGGTAATAATAATTATGATGATGAAAATGAAAATGATAATAATTATAATTATATATCTATCAATGCTATAGTAACCATTCTGATGTCACTTTCATTATTTTCGCTCAACATGATTTCACAATTTCGAAAGAATATAATTTAATCATTAATAAGTAGGTTTATCAGACTTTATGGTTGTGACATGAAACCTTGATAGTGTGCTGATAACGAGGAATGTGTGACGTCCGAATCCACAATCATTTTTATTGACCTTTATTGCTGTACCTCATTCGGACTTACACGGGACATGGTTCTAGGATTTTACTTGAATGATGTGCATGAATTGATATCAGAAATTGATGATAATGATGTCGATGATTTTTTTGTGTGTGAATTTAATAGTTATACACATTGGCATGGGATTTAGACGAATCATGTATACAATAATTGACTATAATGATCAGGATATTTTTTCGTTATTTATATAATAGTTATTCACCTATTTTGCTGTAGCTCAAGATGACTATAATGATGGGAACTCTTGTAATTGAATTTGATAATGAATTGAATTGATGCTGATGATCCCAAGGGAAAAAATTTGAATGGTGATATCGCTAGGCCATGCACAAGCTTGAGTTTTTATTTTCCCAATGTGGATGTTCTTTTCAACACATTTCTTCTTTTTCTGTTTCCATATCCCGTCCCTGATGTCCGTGGGGCGGTCTCCCCGTGTCGATTAGATAGGGTGTTAAAATGAGGACATGGGCGTCTACAAGTGCTATCAGACTAAATACGTTTGTGAAATATGTCGTCAATGTAAACTTTTATCTAGAACAGTGGGCCCCAACCTTTTTTACGCCCGCACCCCTATGAAAATTTTACTGCCCTCGCACTCCCTTTAAATTTATAGATTATTTAAGGATAAAGGAGGTGAATTTTTACCAAATTTGATCAACCAAGGAAAATATTCTTTCTCATTTTCTAATAATATGTTAACAAAAATCAAACAAGGACAAGAAAACATGTCCCAGATTATTTGAATAAATCCTTCATTTGTTTGACAAATCTACATGTAAAAATCAATGAACCAACTTTAAAACGTTTATATAAATTAATTTCAAATCATAGGCACATTTCTTCTTGTTTCTTGATTATGAGTAATAAATAGATTAATTGCTTGCCTTCATATTGGACGCCTCGCGCCGCTTGGAGTGCTGTCTCACACCTCTTGGGGTTCGAACGGCCCTGGTTGGGAAACCCTGATCCAGATCATTGGCAACGACATGTTCTCGTAAATGCGCTGCAGTCATGAGGTACATTGTAATAACGTGGGCATATTGTTGTTGAAATTAATAAAACATTTCATAAGACCATTTAGGGGCAATTTGTCTGAGAAACCCTGAAGGAAGTTATCTGCACTAAGTACTGTTTCCATATACCGTCTCTTATGTAGACGCCCATTATTTTTTGTTGTAGGTTGACAAATCGTCCCCATCACCATCTTTCCCACTATAAGAAAATGCATGAACACCATATATTTACATTGCAATTTAAATTATACATCGATGTAATATTTGTGGTGCGTGCGTCTGAGTGCAACTTTTCATGCGTCCATATATGTGCTGTGTAAATGTGTTTATTGTGAACACCACCAGGCATTTGTATATATATATATATATATATATATATATATATATATATATATATATATAGAGAGAGAGAGAGAGAGAGAGAGAGAGAGAGAGAGAGATCTCAGTATGCAAAATTTGTATTTTCTTTCTCACACGCATTTTTATAGAAAATGAGCCCGGCGGAGGGGTAACTTTTTATTTTATTTATTTATTTATTTATTTATTTTATTTTATTTACGTGATTGCATACATCAACCGACTTTTGTATTGTTCAGCTATCAAGGGTTATCATTCCAGCTTTTCCTTGGGGGGGGGGGGGAAGGGCAAGCAAAGTGAGCACATTCAGTCTCAGGGAGTTGCGAGTCCCCGAGAAGAAACTTAAAAGTACGACCAGAGCTGAAACGACGAACATTAGGCAATCGCTGGAGTGAGGGGAGCAAGCCGGACCTTGAGGGGGTCAGGCTTCGTGGGGATTTTACCCCCGCCCCCCTAACCTGTGCATTCTGTGTGTGCGCGCGCGTGTGCATGAATATATATCAATATAATTAAATATATGTACGTATCTATCTATCTGTCTATCTATATATATGCATATACATATATACATAATATATGTATATATATATATATATATATATATATATTATATATATATATATATATATTATATATATATATATATATATATATATATATATATATATATATATATATATATATATACCCCTCCCACCACACACAATCATGTGTACGTATGTATATATGTATGTATATATGTCTGTATGTATACATGCATGTGTATACATAAATACATTCATACGCGCATATATATATATATATATATATATATATATATATATATATATATATATATATATACATATATATATATATATATATATATATGTATGTATTCTCTCTATATATGTATATCTATATATATATGTGTGTGTGTGTGTGTGTGTGTGTGTGTGTGTGTGTGTGTGTGTGTGTGTGTGTGTGTGTGTGTGTGTGTGTGTGTGTGTGTGTGTGTGTGTGTGTGTGTTGTGTGTGTGTAGAGGAGAGGAGAGAGAGAGAGAGAGAGAGAGAGAGAGAGAGAGAGAGAGAGAGAGAGAGAGAGAGAGAGAGAGAGAGAGAGAAATAAATAGACAGATATAGAAGTACATACATACGTACATACTAAAACGTGCGTGCGTAGGTGCGTGTGCATGTATGCCTGTATATATGTTTGTATGTGTATTTATCCTTTTTTCTTTAAGTAGCGAAGCATATCACAGCATTATGATTTAGATTATAACAAAAATCTTGTCCTGTAAAGAAAATTATATAAGAAATAAGAATAAATAGAAAAAAATAACATGCTTTTCTAATTTCAGATCGACCGTACATTGTCTCAAGATGACCTTTTAAGGACAGTGAACCTATCCGAGGAAACAGTGAGGTGTTGGCTTGTCATGATTGTACATCGGTCTAGTTTGTTTGCAATTTTTGCATTTTCTTTTGAAGACTCTTACATATCAAAATTTTGTGATATTATGTTGTATTTTATCCTCGCAAATACACCATGGCTTCTTTGATTCGTATTGTTAATAAGCGAAGGTTAAGTAAGGCTTCAATACAAAAGGTTGATGAAGGAACCGTGCTATCAACTTTTTACAACGTCGATGCATGTGCTTCAAATACCTCCAATAACAACTCCGATGCACCAGGAAATGTTGCAGAAAAGAACTCTCAACATTTGCCACAGGAAACTTCCACAGATGGGGAGTGCAAGGTTGAATCGGAGCCACTTTTGACAGTACTGGAAGAATACACTTCAAAGGATGTCACACAGCAGTCAACAACAGAATTACCTCAAAATTCATCCTCTTTACCGCAGGCATCATCAAGTGATGTCACTCCCTCGCCAGAAGAAGAGACCACAGTCGCTAAGCCACAGAATCTCAATGATGCTCCAGCACATAATACAGGGATTTACACCACAGAAGACCGTTTTGTGTTTCGGTTGTACAAACTCGTTCAGACTGTAGCTGTATATGTTTTGCATCTTGTCTTCTCCTGGAGCATTCAGGACAAACCCGTCGAGATGAATTTATGTGATTATTTTACTTCGGTAAAGAATGTGAGTAAGGTCAAATTAAGAAGCCTTTTCAAGAAGACGCAAATGGAAGCCTTGCAAAATTACTCTCCCGATGATTCCTTTGACGTGACAATGCTATTTGCATGTATCCTGTGTGTGTACAAAGAAACAGACGATGTTATGGAACACATCAAGTATATCAAAGGTTTTAGGAACGACCTCGCGCATTCAAATATGGACATTGATCATTCAAATTTTTTAGAAAAGATTGAAAGTTTACGGGACCACTTTACAAGGGCGTTACAAATAGCTGGAGATATAAATTCCATCCCACAAGATGCAGTGAGAAATCATGTGCAGGAAATGAATGAAAATGTAAATAAGATCATAGAAGAACCGATAGTCCAATGGGACATTACTAGTTATGAAAACGAGCTCCTGTTTGAACAGAAACTACACAATCTTGTGACCGTTGGTTCACAGAATCTAAAAGCATTGTATGAACAATGGGTTTATCTCACCCCACTCTCCTTCGTCAGTGGGAACACCCAGCTCCAAGTGGGTATGGTGTTTACTGAGCTAGAAATCGTAGAGACAGGTCCGGGAGGAAATGGCGTGCTGATCGAACACCAAGACTTTTTCCATGTAGCCGCGAACTGCCGAACTTTGGGTAATAAAGAAAGGCCAGCAAAGGTCATTCTTGTCGAAGGCCCAGCGGGATCTGGCAAAACAACATTGACTAAAGTGATTATCAGTAACTGGATTCAGGGGAAAGATGCGATCAAAGGCCTTACAGATTTCCAGTTACTGTTGTATACGGAGTGCAGGAATCCTTCTGTAAAGAGTTTCTCTCAGCTTCTAACAGTTCTGATGCCTGACATTGCGAAAAAATTCCGAACGGAAGATATGGTCAGCTGTGTTCTTGCATGCAAAGTTCTCGTGATTGTGGATGGAGTTGATGAGATGACCTCTTCCTCTCGTACGCTCTTGGAAGAAATATTGTCCTTGGTAAACACAGCAGACATAACGGTGTTTATTACCACACGACCAGAGGCTGTCGACGATTTTTCCAAGATGATGCCTCTTAATATAAATACAATGCACGTCAAGATTAAAGGAATTCCCGAAGGTAAGCGAGAGGAATTTGCTCTGAAATACCACTCCGAGATGGAAAGGACTGGCCAAGGCTCGCTGGACACATCAGGACTTGTGAAATACTTGAGGAAAACGGGCGTGCATCTGAAGGAACACTGGCGCCTCCCGCTACACTTAGCGATGGCTGTCATTCTGTGGGTGGTCTGCCCAGATGCCATCAACAGCGTAACAACAGCAACGGAGTTGTTCATAGAAACTGAAAATCTTCGGGATGAAAAACTGTGCGAGAGAGTGAAGAAAAATGAACAGTACAAGTGCCTTCCCGTCAAGGAAATCAAAGAGAAGATCGAAATTTTCCGATCGAGTCTCTATAAAATCGCCTTGTACGGGCAAAGGGAAAGCGATATAATCTTGACCAATAATTCTCTGGAGATTTTCGAAAAGCTCTGTAAGTTCCTCAGTTTACCCGAATCTGAAGTGATGGGAGCGTTCTTCGTGAAGAAAATCACTTGGAATAACACAGGCATGCAAACGCAGTACAGTTTCGCCCATAAAGGAACCCAAGACTTTTACTCTGCATTGCATGTTGTGAACGTCCTCCACGGAAAAGAATACCCGGAGAGCTTGGAACAAATGCAGAATTGTTTGGAAACGTCTTGGCAGAAAATACTGACGTTGAAGAAGAAATCCATCTTGAATATACTGAAAGATGTCTACAGATCAAACCCAGAAGACTTCAATCTCAAGAAGTTCCAGAATGTTCTCGTGCATCTTACTGGCCTCGTGGACAACGGAGGAGAAATCTGCCGCAAGGAAATCTTGTCAGAAATTGTCAAATTGCTGAGGAGATCGGGCGTCGATGACGAGCAGGCGTGGCTAGACATCCTCAGCGACATCAAGATCAACGACGCCATCAACAAAGAAGTCTCCAAGTACGTCCCTGACATCATGAACCTCAACGGACACATAGAAGTAACGGATTCTCGCGTCGCCACTTACGCCAAGATGGTTCTTCACGCTAAGCCCACCCGCGTGACGATAAGCATTGATAGCGATCCAGTACAGGTTCCGTGTTTGCAGGATTTGATGGAAGCTTTGTACTACATAACGTGTGACACTGAGTTGTACTTCTACCATGATTTCCTGCATCCTAGTTCTGACACCCTTGGCGTTGACAGTCCACTGCCGCAACTCTTCAAAGTGTATGTAATAATTTGACAGATTTTAGATTTATTTACGTTTCTGCCTTATATTGGATGATTCTCTCACCGATTTGAAAATATTTTGTATAAGAATTGCTTTGATTATGTATTTTATTTAGAACTAGGTTAAAATATGTTAATTCAGATATCCATGCAGTATTTTATCTCACACTAGAGCTAACACAGCAATAAGCCTACTGCCAAAGCTAACAAAAGTATATCTAACTCCCTTTAGTGACAGGACAATTATATACTTCGAATAAGGTTATAATGAAAACAAATTCCATATTGTAAGTTATCGCTCTCCCGTAAACTTCTCTTCAACAGCAGAATCACTAATAAACGCTCTATTGATAAAGATCCCGAGTTACCAAGTTCATGGGCCACATCGACCAGGCGCTCCTGAGGAAGCTCCCCCACGACCTCCGCGTGGTGTGTGCGGCGGCCGTGGACGAGCGACACTTCCAAACGCTGCTCTCGCGGCTCACCGCCTTGCCCAACTTGGAGTGGGTTTGTGAGTAGCCGTCTTGTACACACATGCATGCCAAACTAAACATACGCTCACGCACACGCACTCGCTCTCTCTCGCTCTCGCTCTCTCTCTCGCTCCGCTCTCTCTCTCTCGCTCTCTCTCTCTCTCTCTCTCTCTTCTCTCTCGCTCGCTCTCTCTCTCGCTCTCTCTCTCGCTCTCCTCCTCTCTCTCTCTCTCTCTCTCTCTCTCTCTCTCTCTCTCTCCTTCTCTTCTCTCTCTCTCTCTCTCTCTCTCTCTCTCTCTCTCTCTCTCTCTCTCTCTTCTCATCTCCTCGCTCTCTCTCTCTCTCTCTCTCTCTCTCTCTCTTCGCTCTCTCTCTCTCTCTCTCTCTCCTCTCTCTCTCCCTCTCCGTCTGTGCCCTATTCGTGTTTTCTCATCATCCTCTCTTCTCCCCTCCGACTTCTTCCACGTCATCTCTTCATACTCTCCCCTCTGCCGCCCTGGCTTCGGTCTACTGTCCTCTCTCGTCTCTCTCTCTTCTCTCGCTCTCTCTCTGCTCTGCTCTCCTGGTGCGTTGTGTCTTCATCTGCCCGCCGTCGTCGCTCTCGTTCTCTCTCTCTCTGCCGCTCTCTCCCTCTCTCTCCCTGATCTCTTCCTTCTCCTCACCTCCTCTCTCTCTATCCAGATCTCGTCTCCCTCTCCCTCAGTCTCCCTCATCCTATCGAAGCCTCTCGCGCTCGTCCTCAGGCCAGTCTCAGGTCTCGTCTCTCCCATCTGCGCTATAGGTTACATATGGGTAATACTAGAATATATTATATTATATATAATATAGAGGCACACGATACCAAACATAAAGCATATACGTTATTATATATATAATAGTATAATGACTAATATAATATATGATGTATGTATGATATTTTATATATATATAATGGTATATATATATAGATAATATTTAGAATGTAATATATGTGATATGTATATATTATGTGTATATGTTGTGTATAATATATATTATATATCTTAAGTACATATGTTGGTTATTATAGCTTAATATTCTAACTATTACATGATATACTACAATAATAGCATATATATATATAATAATATATATATATAATAATATATTATATAGTATGTATAATACCTAGATAGTATATATGTAATATATTTATGAATTATTCATATATCGTATATATCTATATGTTATATGTATGTATATATATAGAATATGAAATATATGTTAAGATTAGTGTATATAGTATATATATATATATGTAATATTAAGGTATTATGTAATAACAATGGTGTATATTATTAATATATATATAATATATGTATACGGTATATAATATATATACTACATATATAGTATTACAATATAACATAGATTATACGTACATAATATATAACATATATATATATAATGTTATACATATAAATAACTATATATACATATATATATTATACATATAATACATATATACTATCTAAGTATAATATATATAATTATATATATTATATATATATATTATATACATACACACATAATATATATGTATGGTATAAGATGGCACGCCACATGCGACACACACACACACACACACACACACACACACACACACACACACACACCACACACACACACACACACACACACACACACACGACAGCACACACACATACGCAAGAGAGTAGGTTTATTTTAAGGTCAAATGATCTATTAGTCCACTTTTCCTGCATCCCCAGGGATTCACTCAAGAGAAGACCTTGACACTAAGGTCAATCCGCCTCTCGCAGGCATCAACAAGGTCATTTACAACAGCAGCTACAACAGGCTCATAGTTAAGAAGTTAACCAGACACCCCTTGGAATTAGGACGCCTTGAGAAATTGCTTGAGCTCATAGACAGCAAGTACAGCCAAGAATCAAGGAAGGCTTTTAGATGTGATGTGGAAATGCAGTTGTTGTGGGATTTCCAACAACCTGGAGCATATTACAAGACAACAGACTGGGCCTTCCAGCGTTTGTTCTTGCGGTAAGATTACACTCCTCTGGGCTTCGGGCATTACGGCTAGCTTCGAAGTGTTCTAAGGATGTTAAATTGCTTAATGACATCATGATGAGGATAGACTATAGATTATCACTACCTCAGAAAAATAATTGAAATAGAATCTGGTCAAAAATTGAGTTCCAAAAAGCATATAATCACCAATTTGAGTCTAGTTCATTGGTCAGATGCGGCAAGTAGAACCTTCCGGTTTGAGTCTTATTACTGGGCTAGGCTCTTAGAGCCGTTGAGCTTGATGGGAAAGGGTAAGACTAGGGGAGGCAGTCAACAAAAAATTGTTTCACATTTTAGTGTATTTGTTGTTTCTTGAGTAGGCTTGGGCCATGTCTTTATTTTAACTTCATTTTATGATCAATTATGCGCTCCAACAGAACAGTTGTTATTATTACTTTTACTGTTTTGATATGATTTACTAATTGATTGAATTGATCAGCAATAAATGAAACAGAAAATATTAATGAACATGACCTTGGTAATACCATAGAAATTATGGTTATACCATAGATATAATGATATTGATAAGAATAAAACAAACAATCAGAGTATAAGAAGTCAGTCTAACAACAATAAACACAGTTATTATGCTATCAACACAATAATTCAAAATGTTAACTTTATTGTCCTCATTTCAGGTGTAAAGTCACATCGTTCAAAGGATGTCTAGGAAGTGATTCATTGGCAAGTCTTCCTAGTACAGTAAGGAAACTAAGGATATCAATATTTGATGACAGCCACTACAAGTCTATTGAGCCAAGTCTCTCCACACTGCTGAAGACACATCCAAATTTATTTCGACTATGTGAGAAACTAAATGGTTTATTGCATTTCCTATATATAATTCATAGATAGTCACTGTTAATTCTAATTTTCAGATTGTATTTTTAATATTTATATACTTATTGCTTTTTAAAGGCTTACAACTATTAGAATATGATAAAGAAACCATAAACAGTTAAGAACTCTTCTATGCTAGTGAGGAAGAAGAAAGAGAGAGAGAGAGAGAGAGAGGAGAGAGAGGAGAGAGAGAAGAGAGAGAGAGAGAGAGAGAGAGAGAGAGAGAGAGAGAGAGAGAGAGAGAGAGAGAAGGGAAGAGAGAAGAGCACCACAGAAAAGTGGAAAGGGAGAGAGAGAGAGAAAGGTAAAGGGAGAGAGAGAGAAAGGGAAAGGACAGAGAGAAGCAGAGAGAGAGAAAGGGAAAAGGAGAGAGAGAGAGAAATGAAAAGGGAGAAGAGAGAAGAGAGAGAAGGGAAAGGATGAGAGAGAGAGAAAGAAAATGGAGAGAGAGAAAGAGGATAGGGAAATGGAGAGAGAGAGAGAAAGGAAGGGAAATGGAGAAGAGAGGAGAGAGAGGAAGGGAAAAGGGAGACCGAGAGGGGGAAGGAAAGGGAGAGAAGAGAGAGAGAGAGAGAGAGGAAGGGAAAGGGAGAGAGAGAGAGAGAAGGGAGAAGGGACGAGAGAGAGAATAGGAAGGGAAAGAAAAAGAGAGGTAGGGAAAGGAAAGAAGAGAGGAGAAGAGGTGGGAAAGGAAAGGAAAGAGAGAGAGAGAGCGAGAGGAAAGGGAAAGGAAGTGGAGATGGAGAGAGAGAGAGAGAGAGGAGAGGAGAAGAGATAAAGGGAAGAAAAAGGAAAGAGAGTAGAGAGAGAGAGAGAGAGAGAGAGAGACAGAGAGAGAGAGAGAGAGTGAGGAGGAAGGAGAAAGAGAGAGAGAGAGAGGAGAGGGAAGGAGAAGAGAGAAGAGAGAGAGAGGAAGAGAGGAAAGAGAGTTGAGGAGAGAGAGAGAGAGAGAGAGAGAGAGAGAGAGAGAGAGAGAGAGAGAGAGAGAGAGAGAGAGAGAGAGAGAGAGAGAGAGAGAGAGAGAAGAGAGAAGAGAGATGAAAGAGGAAAGGGAAGAAGAGAGAAAGAAGAGAAGGAAAGAGAGAGAGAAGAGAGAGAGAAGAGGAGAGAGAGAGAGAGAGAGAGAGAGAGAGAGAGAGAGAGAGAGAGAGAGAGAGAGAGAGAGAGAAGAGAGAGAGAGAGGAGAGGAGAGAGAGAGAGAGAGATGAAGAGAGAGAAGAGGAGATAGAGAGAGAGAGAAAGAGAGAGAAGAGAGAGGAGAGGAGAAGGGAGAGAGAGAGAGAGGAGGAAGAGGAAAGAGAGAGAGAGAGAGAAGAGAGAAGAGGAGAAGGGAGTAGAGAAGAGAGAGAGAGAGAGAGAGAGAGAGAGAGAGAGAGAGAGAGAGAAGAGAGAAGAGAGAGAGAGAGAGAGAGAGTAGAAGAGAGAGAGAGAGAGAGAGAGAGAGAGAGAAAGGGAACAGGAGGAAAGAGAGGGGGAAAGTGGCAGAGAGAGAGGAGAGGAAGGGAAAGGAAAAAGAGAAAGACCACAGGAAAATGGAGAGAGAGAGAGAGAGAGGATGGGAAAGAGAGAGAGAGAGAGAGAGAGGAAGGAAGGGAGAGAAAGAGAGAGAGGAAATAACACACGGCCACACCGACCGAGAAGAGGGACACAAAAGATGAGACCTGAGAACTAGAGACAGGAGAGAGAGCTCAACCTGCCCATGAGGGAAAAAGGAGAGAGAGAGGAGAGGGAAAGGGAGAGAGAGAGAGAGAGAGAGAGAGAAAGAAGAGAGAGAGAGAGAGAGAAAAGGAGAGAGAGAGAGCAAGAGAGAAGAGAGAGAGAGAGAGAGAGACGAGAAAGGAGGGAGGGAAGAGAGAGAAAGAGGAAAGAAAGGGAGAGAGTAGAGGAGAAGAGAAGAGAGAGAGAGGGAGGAGAGAAGAGAAGAGAGAGAGAGAGAGAGAGAAGAGAGAGAAGAGAGAGAGGAAGGGAGAGAGAGAGAAGAGAAGAGAGAGAGGAAGGAAAGGGAGAGAGAGAAAGGGGAAAGGAAGAGAGAGAGAAGAGGAAGAGGAGAGATATGAAGGATAGGGAAATGGAGAGAGAAGAGAAGAAGGGAAAAGGGGAGAGATAGAGGAAGGGAATAGGGAGAAGAAAGAAAGAGAGAGAAGGAAAGGGAGAGAGAGAAGGGACAGACAAGAGAGAGTGAGGGGAGAAGAGAGAGGGAAAAAGAAAGGAGGAGGGAGAAGAGAGAGAAGAGAGAGAGAGGAAGAGAACGAGAAGAGAGAGAGAGAGAGAGAAGAGAGAGAGAGAAAGAGAGAAGAAGAGAGAGAGAGAGAGAGAGAAAGGGAAAAAGGAGAGAGAGAGAGAGAAGGAGAGGGATAATGTGGGTAGGAAGAGAGAGAGAAGATGGAAGGAAAGGGAGAAAAGAAGAGAGGAATGGAAAGGAGAGAGAGAGCAAGAGAGGGGAAACGGGGAGAGGAATAGGGAAAGGGAGAGGAGATGAGAAGAGAGAGAGAGATGGACAGTGGAAGGGAGAGAGAAAGAGAGGAAAGGAGAGAGGGAGAGAAGGAGAGAAGGAAGGGAGAGGAGGAGAAAAAGAGAGAGGGAGGG